TAATAACCATATCCCAAGCTTTTTAAAAATTTGAGTTCAGGCTGGCTTTGAATTCACTGTGTAGCCCAGGCTGTCCTCGAACTCACAGTGATCCTCCTGCCTCAGCCTCCTGAGTGCTGGGATGACAGGCATGTGCCACCACGCCCGGTCTGATTTTAGTTTAGTTTGTGTGTTTTTTTAAAACAAGGGCTTGCTCTGTAGCTCAGGCTATCCTTGAGTTCATTATGTAGCCCAGGCCGGCCTTGAACTCATGGCATTCCTCCTGCCTCAGCCTCCTGAGGGCTGGGATGACAGGCTAATTTCAGTTTTTGTTTGGTTTTGTTTCGTTCGGTTTTTTGAGACAAGGCCTCACTATGTAGTCCAAGCTGGCCTGGAACTCTCAGCGATCCTCCAGCCTCAGCCTCCCCAGGGCTGGGATGATAAGCATGCCACCAGGCCCGGCTCTAGAAATGCAACTGCGGCACATGGTGTGACATGCTGGCCATGGCATGCTGCGCTGGGCGGTGGGGATCCTCTAAGAGGCGGGGCTTATGGGAGGCGCTGAGGGCATTGCTGTGCTGCTGGGAAGGGACCCAGTGAGTTCCCGCCAGAGCAGTTTGTTACAGAAGCGTGGGATTGAGCCCTGAAGCCCTCCCGCTCCCTTTGTCACTGCACCGTGGTGGGTGCGCAGGTGCATCTGGGGTGCTGGGAGTGTTGTGGAAGTAGATAGGGTGCTTGTAAATGCCACCTAATCGGACACTTTCAAATGGTTAACTTTGTGATATACATGCATTTTTACCTTACTTTTTCTTTCTTAAATTTTCTTTCTTTTTTTTGAGACAGGGTCTTGCTATGTACTTCAGGCTGGCCTTGAATTCACTATGGAGCCCAGGCTGGCCTCGAACTTGTAGCGATTCTCTTGCCTCAGCCTCCTGAGTGCTAGGATGACAGGTGTGTGGCATCACACCTGGCTTTTTTTTTTTAAAGTTTTTATTTTACTTATTTGTTTGGCTTTTTTTCTTCTTCTCTGTATTCAGAATTGAACTCAGGACCCTGTGATTGCTAGGCAGGTGCGGGGCCACTGAGCTATATCCCCGGCCCTTGGCTTTGGTTTTTTGAGGCAGAGTCTCCCTATATAGCCCAGGCTGGTCTTCAACTCTGAGATCCTCCTGTCTCAGCCTCTGCAGTGCTAGGATGACAGGCGCTACCACTTTTTTTGTTTTTGTTTTTTTGGTATCAGGGATCGAACTTGGGTCCTTGCGCTTGCGCAGCAGGCGGTGAAACCACTGAGCTAAATCCCCGACCCTACATTAATTTTTGAAAAAGCTTCCCGCTCCTGCTGTTAGAGCGGCGGAGTAGGGAGTCATGGGAGGAGGCGGCCAATTTCCCAGCAGGTGGAGCCGGAAGCTGCTCTGACCCCGTCGCTCCGCCTGTGGGAGAGAAAGGACCTGGAGCCAGGCAGGTGGCCGCTGCCCGCGGGACGGGATGTTCCAGACAGGTGCAGCGGGGCGCGGCGAGACTGGGCGGGCAGTGCATCTGAACCGACAGCAGGGGCCCCTCAGATCTGTTTGGATTTACTTCAGTCGCGGGACCCGATCTGCTTGAAGAGAGGCTCCCTCTAGTGGCCGGGTGGAGAATGGCGGGGGCTGCGCGCCGCGGTTCCCAGGGCCTGGCATGGGATGCCTGTTACTAGGACAGGACTAATGCGGGGAGCGGAGGGATCTGGGGTACAGGAATGCACAGCTCTGTTTGGGACCTTGCAGTGCCTCTAAAAAGCCTTTTGAAAACTTAATTTTTCTGCGTCCATGTTTGCAGGACATAACGCTCACATTCCTCGTGGGGAGATGGGCCAGGTGCAGAACACAACTTCATTCTTTTGGACTTTTCCCCTCCCCGTCCTGCATCTCTTGGTCCTTTTCATTTGTGAAAGAGCTTTCTCCATTTCCTATGATCTGTCTTCTATTTTGCTCTTTATTTATACTTTAGTTTCTCATATAAGAGAAACCACGTGATATTTAAACTCCTATCTGATTTATTTCACTTAGCGTGATGGTTTCAAAGTGCATCCATTTACCTACAAATAACACAAGTTATTCTTCATGGCAGAGTAGTACTCCACTGGGATTGTGTCATATTTTCTTTATCCATTTATCTGTTGATGGGCATATAGTTCCTTCCAAGATTTAGCTATTATAAATTGTGCTGCTATAAACATGGGTATGCCTACACCACTGTGGTATGATATCTTTAACTCTTTTGGAAAGACACCTAGAAGCGGAATAGCTGGGCCAAATGGAATTTCTAGTTTTAATTTTTTGAGGAATCTCCATCCTGATTTCCATAATGGTTGTACCAGTTCTCACTTCCACCAACGATGGAGTCATTTTTGAATAAAATTGGATTACTACTAATTGGATGTGTATTCCACACTTCTGTTACAGAACATGAATTCTGTCCAGTTTTGGGGCTGCTTTGATGACATGGAAAGACTTTCCATACAGATCCCAGCACTCTGGGAGGCTGAGGCAGCAGGGGGGCAATCTCAAGCCTGCGCTGAGTAATTTAGTGACTTAGCAAGACCCAGTGTTACAATGAAAAATTTTAAAAATAAAAAGCCTGGGTTTGGGCCCTGGATTTAGCTCAGTGGTCTCGCTGCCTGCTTCACAAGTGCTGGGGATGTAGGTTGGTGTGTGAAGGCCCTGGGTTCAATCCCCAGTACTGGAAAAGGGGAGGGGGTGGCTGAATGTTGGTTTCTGTGATTTGAATTTCCCAAGTGCTGGAGGGAGACTTCTCGGGCTAAGTTACGTTCTGTGCTTACAGAGGTCAGGGCTCAGGAGGATCCTCCTGCCTCAGCCTCCCTAGCACTGAATGACAGGTGTGTGCTGCCATGCCCCACTGGAGCAGCATTTCTAAGGCAGATTCTGGGTTCTGTGCAACAGAGCCGAAAGGCTCCTCTGAGAAATGGATACAGAAATGCTAATGGTTGGATCATGTCACTGCAGTGACACCCCAGGTGCACTTAAAACTCGGGGACTCTGGTGCCTTTGGGAGAATCTGGACTTTGCCTGGCCCACAAGCCCTGCCTGACCCTGCTCCAAACACTTCGAAGTGTCCCTGTCTTAGAGTCAAACCACTGCTCGTTTGGCTTGGTATTCAAAGCCCTGCCTGCGCTCGCCCTACTACAAAACCCGAGAGAGGCTGTGAAGAGGTGGAACAGAGTAAGAGATAATTTGCTTACAGGTAAAAACAGACAAGCCGGCTGCCCTCACAGGCTTGTGTTTACATATAGGGCCTGTTCCCAAAACTCCCACGTAGCAGGGCCTGGGTGAAATGAGTATTTCTAGGATAGCCACTGGTTCCCAGATATGCGAGTCCTCTTTCCTTTTTTTTTTTTTTTTTTTTTTTGAGACAGGGTCTCACTTGTAGGGCAGGCTGGCCTCCAACTCATGGTGATCCTCCAACTTCAGCTTCCTGAGGGCTGCGATGACAGGTGTGCATGGCTACACTGGGCCAAGATTTTTTTTTTTTTTGTACCGTGGATCAAACTCGGGCCCTTGTGCTTGCGAGGCAGGCGGTGGAACCACTGTGCTAAATCCCACCGAGCTAATCTTGGCCCTGGGCCAAGATTTCTTATTTGCTTATTTACTTAGTTTTTTACATTTTAGGACCGACCGCTAGGGATGGCAACTTTTTACTTTGCAAGGCCAGCGAAATACACAAAACAGTACCATCTTCACTCGGAACAGAGGACCTTTGTATACCACAGAGTCCAGAGTCGGCGCTTGCACAATAAAGGTCAGTGCTCTGGCTTCATCCGGGCATACTGGCCGCCGCCGCCGTCGCCGCCGCCACCGCCACCACCACCGCCCTGGCTCTTCCTCAGCTGGGCCTGGGGTTAGGGCAGGAGTGGAAGCCGGGCCAGGGCTTCTTTAGCTCCTTAACAGGACCAAACTGTCAGGCTGTGCCCTCCCGCCGGCTCAGCGACCCCTGCACACACTCCCAGGTTGGGCTGGGAGTCCTCCGACCCCTTTGATGTGGTGACGCTGGACCTAGCTCCTCCTCAACCCCAAGCAACCTCCACTGTACTCATGTCTTCCCCTTAACTATTGAGTGGACACTGGGCGTAGTGGCGCACCCCTGTCATCCCAGCCCTCGGGAGGCTGAGGCAGGAGGATCGCTATGAGTTCGAGGCCAGGCTGGGCTACACAGTGAGTTCAAAGCCAGCCTGGACTACACAGGGAGACCCTGTCTCAAAAAACCAAACAGGAAAATTTGAGCTGATGCTTGCTGTAGTTGTAAGGAATAAAAGCTAGAGGTAAGATGCCTAGAATTGCCAGGCGCATACTGAGTGTACAGTGACTGCCAGCGCCTTGTTCGTGATCATAGTGCAGCTGTCTAAGAACAAGCACCTTAAGAAGGGATGTGACCCCCAACAGCTGGTGCTGCGTGATGGCAGGGTCCCGGGCCACTCTCTGTTCCCTCGGCTGCTGTGGGTAGGGAGGGAACCAAGGATGCGGAGGATCACGGGAAGGGACTGCAGTGCCCTGCTGGTCCTGGACACGATTTGCAGATGTCAATCTGCACTCCACGCACTAGTCAGAGCCTCGGGAGCGTCCCCACCGCGAGTGTTCCAAACGGTTCCACGACAGCTTCCCGGGAGCTGCGCCAGTGCGCGAGCCGGGGCTGCCATCGGGGGCTGGAAGGGCCTAGGGGCAGCCTCCGGCTGGGGACGCCGGGCCCGAGAGGCACGACAGCCGTGGCCAAGGTCGCTGGCCAGAGGGACACGGGGCCCACTCTGGGCCGGGAGGACTCGGGTGTTCAGACCCGGTGGGCGGGAACGGGGCCTCGGGCCGCGAACCCGCGCCCGTTGAGAGCCAAGCCGCCCCAGCGGCCTGGAACCAGCGAGCCCCGCCCCTCACCCGGCCCCCCGCCCCGAGACTGCGGCCCCACCCCGCTCCGCCCCGCCCCCGCCGCCGGCGCCGGCGCGGGCCCTTCCTCCGCCCACTCGGCCAGGGCGGGGCTACCGGGCTCCTCCCCCGCGCGCCCCGCTGCCGCCGCCACCGCCGCCGCCGCCTCCCCTCGGGCCCGTCGCGCCTTTGGAGCTCGCAGCCATGGTGGCCTGGCGCCAGGCGCTCGTCGTCTGCGTCGCGTTCTCCTTGGCCACCGTGGTGCACAGAGGTAAGCGGGTGGGGGGCTCGTGGGGACCCCGCCTGTGGACCGGGGTCTCTGCGCATGAGCGGCCCGGCTCCGCCTCGCGGCCTGCGGCGGAGGGGGAGGGGCGGGGGTCCCGGGTCGCTCCCCCGAACCCCGAACCACGAGCCCGCGGCGCGGTGTGGACCGAGCAAGGGGGCCGCCCCGGGCGCGGCGCTGGAAACGGCAGGAGGGCCGGCGTCCAAATCCCGACCGAGCAGGTGTCACCACCGGTGACCACAGCTGTCCCGGGCCTCTACCTTGGGGCAAACCTCGGGAAGGGCTTTGTGACATCGCCTGTGAGGCCACCGGTGGCAGAAGCAGCCGGGAGCTTCCTGGGTGGATTCGCACACTCCGACGTGGGATCGCGGCGGGTGCGGGGTGCGGTGGAGCTGGCGGGCGACATGGAGGCCTCAGGGGCCTCCTGGGTGGTCTGGGGTCTCCTCCACGCTTCAGGCCTTGGCTCCTATTTTACCAAGGAAACGGACAGCGACCGCTGAAGACTCGAGGGAGCAGGTTGGGTAGACCCCGAGCAACCGCAAGGGTGGTCCAGGACCCAGCCGCATTGGCTCTACCTGGGCGCCCGTCAAATGCGGCATCTCAGGCCCCGCCCCGCCCCACTGAGTCACTATCTTATTTGGCGACGTCGGAAATCGGGCGCGTTCAATGGGAGAAGCATCTTCTTAGAATAAATGAAGTCCATAGTTAAAAATAGGGTCTTAAACATGTAGCAGCAGAATCTTCTTACATTTATTTATATCCCATTCCCACATCCCAGTCGACATTGTTCAGAGAAGCCAGGCCCTGTGACAGGACTGTGACACACAAGGGACCCAAACTAAGACTGTCTTGGTGGGGCTGACCTTCTGGTGGATGGAGGAAGCAAGCACAAACGTGCCATCTATGGAATACATTATCAGCACTGTGAAGAAAAATAAAGCAAGTTATTGCCACGAAGAGTTGTTAAATTTTCTTTCAGTTTTTCCACTGGGGATAAAATTTGCCTTCTGTTAAATAATGTGCATTTGCAGGGCAAAGCATAAAATAGTTCACCCCCTCATCCAAGATCTCTTGGGGATGCCTGAAACCATGGCACTTGTGTTTTGAGTGCTGAGTCTGGAACCCAGGGCCTTGCACCTGCCAGCTGAGCTGAACCCCCACCAGAAAGTACAAGGGGTATCAGGCTATAGTTCTGCCATATTGTTTACTCTACACATTGTAGCCTTGCCTTGTAGTGCCTGAGTTCATCTGTCCGTGTGTGTTCTGTGCTCTGCTGCCTCTTTCCTGTCCTTACCAAATGCCTAACAGGAGGGTAGTGTATACAGTACAAATACACTGGGCAAAAAAGGATATTAACATTTGGGGTGGCACAGGGCAGGATGGTATGGGGGTTTTATGCTATTCAAAATGGTGCACAGTTTAAAATGTGAGTTCTTTCTGAGCGTGACTATCTGGAACTGTAGAGAACAAAACTTCAGAAAGAGTAAGGCATGGTGGTGCATGCCTGTCATTCTGGTGTTAGGGAGGCTGAGGCAGGAGGATTGCCAGGAGTTCGAGGCCATCCTTGAGGACAGTATGTGACTGAATTGAAGGCCAGCCTGAACCACATAGTGAGACCCTGTCTCAAAAAAACCAAACCAAACCAAACCAAACCAAACCCAAACCAAAATCACCAGAAAGCAAAACCACAGGCAGAGGTGAGCAACTGTTGTGAACATTCCATTGAATTGCATCTAAAGATACGGGAATTTTTAAAGTGGAATATATATAATCAAGTCTCAGGGTCGCTCTTTCTTTCTTTCTTTCTTTCTTTCTTTCTTTCTTTCTTTCTTTCTTTCTTTCCTTCTTTCTTTCTGCTTCTTTGCTAACTGTACTGGGCATTGAACCAAGGGCCTTCACATTGAGCTACATCCCAATCCCTTTGCATTTTTTTTTTTTAAGATACTGTCTTGCTAAGTCACCCAGGCTGGGCTCAAACTTGCAGTTTTCCTGCCTCAGCTTCCCAGAGTTCTGGGGTTTCAGGTGTGTTCCATCATGCCTGAGGAACTTTCAGGTTTCAGTTAGGAGATTTTTGGGGAGACTGAGCCACAATGCCACTGTTTTACAGATGAGGAAACAGGCACAAGAGTGAACTAAGGGCCTCGTATCACTCAGAGATTGATGGGCATGGTGACCATTCTGCGCCAGGTCTGTCTGAGTCCACAGTGCCTGCACGCGCGGCTTCCGGCAGATGAGCTCTCTCCACCTGTGTGTCTGTCCCTGGAGTGCCTAGCAGCTCACAGCTGTCTCCAGGGACCCGGGATGCGTCCCTCTTTGTCCAAAGCCTGTTTACCAGCTGCCACCCCCGAGTGTAATCACCTCCGCAGCTTTCTAGGTACAAAGTGACATGTGGCATTCCTTCCACAGGTAGAATAAACAGAGCCGGGATTCAGCCCAGTGATGCTCTTTGTTTAAAGTAAGAGCCCTGAACTGGACTGACAAGGTAGCACACACTTGTAATCCCAGCACTCAGGAAGTTGAGCAGGAGCGCACGAGTTCAAGGTCAGCGGAAACTGTGTAGCAAGACTCTGTCTCATAAAACCAAACACCAGAATCAAAGAGCAACAATAACAAACTGGTGTGGTGGCACATCCCTGTAATTTCAGCACTCAGGAGCCTGAAGCAGGGGGATTGCTGTGAGTTTAAGACCAGCCTGGGCTCCATAGCAAATTCTTTGGCCTAAAGCCTCAAAAACACAAAATCAAAGCAAAACCAAAAGCACTGAACCAGTTACAGCTTTGGTTTCAAGGTAGGAACCCAGACCTCTGGATCTTTTGTCCACAGTACAATGGCAAATGAGGTTTTTGCATCACCAGTCTGCCCGCGGTCTGGGTCCTGCACAGCAGGGCTCAGGTCTCGCAGAAGAGTGGTAAGGTGAGACCACCGTGGGCTCTGAGGAGGTCACCTTCCTTCACTGGTTCTGAAGTATCTGAGGCCAGGTGTGTCACCTGTACGTGCCTACATGAATGGGAAACTGTCCTCTCTTTATTTTCCTTTATTTTTTTGAGACAGAGTCTTGCGATGTAACCCAGACTGGCCTTGAATACATGGCAATCCTCCTGCCTCCACCTCCCAAATGGTGGGATGACAGGCATGCACTACCATGCCCAGCTGTGTTCTTTTTCTTTTTAATTTTATTTTATGAGTACATATTTGCAGGACATAATGATCCCATTCCTCACGAGGAAGTGGAACACAGAGAACACATCTGAGCTCTTCTTTGAGCAGGAGGGATGGAATCTCAGGGGTGCAGGTGGATGTTATTCACCAACAAGGAGTCAGTTTCTTGAGTGCCTCCTACCCGCCAGGTCCCCAGTACCTCCAAAGTGATTCCCCTTCATGCCAACTGGAAAGGCTGGCACCATGACCCTCAGTTCCTCCTAATGTCCCTAGTGACCCTTTTTGTGCAGTGTTGAAGAATAATGGACACTTATCCGGGTGTGGTGGCGCAACACCTGTCATCCCAGCATTGGGGAGGCTGAGGCAGGAGGATCTACACAAGTTCAAGGCCACCCTGAACTACATAGTGGGATCCTGTCGCGGATAAACCAAAAAAGTAAAAACGTGGGGGCCAGAGGCTGCGTAACCTAACACAAGAGCCTCTTACTCTGTAGAAGAACTGGTTGGAACTGGGTTTGTCTGAATGGCCAAAGCAAGGCTGGTGAATGCAGGCCTCTTTAGGGCGTAGGCAGGTCAAAGAAAGGTGACAGATGGCTGCAGATCCATGTCATGAGGCTGCTGGCCAACAGCATGGGGCCACCCACTATGCCTTGGCTGGCCAGTCCCCTTGCCTGCTGGGTGCCTTGGCTTTGGCTTCCTCTTGTGCATCATGGGGTTGTGGACAGCGTGACACCTCATGGGGCTGCCGCTAGCGTTAGCTGAGTAGGAAGCCCTAAGCACGCAGCACAGCACCTGGCTCCAAGGGCGTCCCTCGTGAGCAACCTTTCCTCATATTCCCTGAGCCGTCCCTGCTGAGCCGCATCTTCAGATGCACATGGGAAACTGTGAAAGCATTGTTTACACAAGATGCCTGCAGTTTGTAACACTACAGCATGGAGAGAGAAAGCGGGGTCCGGGAAGGCTGTGTGGGCCGGGACTCTTCAGGGAATGGGAGTGCTCTGGAACTGGGTAGAGCGCTGCGTACAGCCTCGTGAAAAGGATAAGCTTATGGAACATGACTTACAGCTCTGTCCATCTATTTATTTGTTTACTGTTTTTTTGAAACAGGGTCTCACGACGTAGTTCACGCTGGTCTTGAGCTCACTCTTAGCCCATGCTGACCTTAAATTGGCAGAGATCCTCCTCCTGCCTTAAGCCTCCCAAGTACTGGGATGACGGGTGAGTGCCGCCAGGCCCCGCTGTCTCCATTTAAAACAGTTGACAATGTAGTGTGAGCCACGGAAGTCTGAGAAGCGGCAGCATGCGACCCTGGGTGGGGTTGTGGTCTTCAGGGCCCCAGGTGCAGTGACTTAGGTGTCAGGTCTGGCAGCTGCAGGGTGGCACTGAGCTGCTTAACCCTACCTGCAAGTTTCTGGAGTGGCCCATGGGATGCTGGCTCTGTGGGCATGTGAAGTCCCCTTTGCTAGGTGGCTCTGGGGTCACTGTTGTGTGTACCTGTTATCCAACGGCACAGGGTCTGGGGACATTGCCTTTAATTTTCATTTCTTGTCTTTTTTGCAGTACTGGGGATTGAACCCAGGTCCTTCACATTGAGCTACAGCCCCCGCCTTTCTCTTTTGGTACCGGGGATCGAACTCGGGTCCTTGTGCTTGCGCAGCAGGCAGCAAAACCACTGAGCTAAATCCCCGGCCCATACCCCTACCTTTTTAAACTTTAAAAAATTTTAAAACAGAGTCTCACTAAGTCACTAAGATGCCCGGGTTGGGCTCAAACTTGCCATCTTCCTGCCTCAGCCTCCCAGAGTGCTGGGATGACGGGCGTGGGTCACC